ATTACGAAACCCGGGCAATGTAGCAGTAGGAGCACTGGTTTTGAGGGGTGGGTGGGGGACTGGCCAGGTGTACTGCATGTTATAGTGTCTGCCTATTTAGCAGCAATTCTCTCTTCTCCTGTTTACAGCACTTTGCTTGTCCTTTGGGGGAGCAACTCCTCCCAAGGCTTTACGTGTTGGGAATGAGACTGTTTCATCTCTGGCTTTAGTCTTGTATTTCTGCTAGATTTTGGGGGAAGAAAAACAAACAAAACTTTCTTACTGCTAACACTGCTTGATGTAAGTTTGGAGAAGTAGAGAGAACCTCTGAAAATGACGGCATCACAGAGGAAGTTCTCATGAAGTGATGGAGAGAGAGATCTTACGCCGATATCATCAGCTAAACTGCTAGAAGCTGTCCTGAAGCTGTACTACCCTGGTCCTGTTACATGAGGACCAGTGAGCTTTTATCACAGACCAGCTGTGTTCTATAGCTTGTGTTTAGGAATCATGGGTGAGTGGCCCTTGCCCACCTCTGATTGTGTGGGCTTGGAGATAACATTTGCGAGAGTGCTTTCCTGTTTTCTACAAAGGGGAGGTAATTGTATTGCAGATTTAAAGTTAATTGGACAATTGAAGTCAGAAATTATATGGATTTAAAATATATTGATATCAAAAGTAGAACTGTTTGGACTAACTGGCTAATTTGAAGGAATTCAGATATTCATCCAAAATGTTTAGGCCAGATCATTTTGCCTAAATAATTTCTGTATCTCATCTGAAACTGATTTCCGGGCTTTAACTGTTCTATTCTATTTGCATTCATGGCCACAGCCTATGTTGTTACAGGAGTCACTGTTTCTTCCTTATTAAATAAGTGCCCCTCCCACTGGCACTGTGCATCTTTGAAGTGCCCATTGCTGTTCTAGGTGCAGGGGCTGTACAGGGAAAGACACAGAAACTGTACTTCATGAAGATTACATTCTAGACATAGAGAGACAGCGGCGTCTTCCAGGGGCTAGTTACTGTACTCAGTACTACTGCATTCTGGTTCTCTTCTTCTGATAATATCAAAAGTGTGAGAGGTCTTTGTGGAAATTCTGGATAAAATTCATAAGAAATTTACATGCTATCCCTATACTTACACATACACAAATATATACCTCAATATACATTTGTGTACGTGCCAGACACATTTCATAGCTAGGTAACCTGGTTCAACTTAACAACTCCAGGCCTCAATTTCTCACCTGAAAAATGGGGATTATCCTAGTAGTAATCTTACCTTGTGGGGACTAAATGCATGTAAATAATTTAGTATAGTGTCAGGCACAAATTAAGAGCTTAACAAATGATAGATAATATTTATTATTATTATTACTAATACATATATATTACTTATACACATTTGTCCAATATTCCTCAAAAGAATAAATAATTGTGTACTGCATTTTGTTTCATTCCTTTAACATTTATTGAATCCTTTACTATGTGCAAGGCCCACAATGTCAGATTTTTTTTTTTTTTTTTAGAGATGGCTGCATTAGTATCTCCCTTTCTTGTTGCTTTCCCATCTGGAGGTACAGTCTAATTGTTGTTTAGTCCCTAACTTGTGTCTGACTCTTTTGTGACCCATGGTCTGTAGCCCACCAGGCTCCTATCTCCATGGGACTTCCCAGGCAAGAATACTAGAGTGGGTTGCCATTTCCTTCTTCAGGGGATCTTTCCCACCCAGGAACTGAACTTATATCTCCTGCACTGCAGGAGGATTCTTTATTGCAGAGGCACCAATGAAGTCTGATTAGCCTCTCCTTAAATCTGAGCTTTTGACTTGCTTGTAGTCAATAAAGGTGGAAGAAGTGTTTGACTTCCAGGGCTAGGTCATAAAAGGTGATTCAGCTTTCCTTTTGTGAGCTGGAACATTGATACTAGGGTCCTGAGGACCCTGTGAGAAGACTCAACTAGATCACATCCAGTGACCACACAGTGAAGCCTGAGCCCATCTGAAGATAAGAAGATGCTCCCATTACCATCTCACTGCAAACACATGCAAGACCCCAAGTCAGGATTACCCAGTCAAGTTCAGTTCAGTTCAGTTCACTTCAGTCGCTCAGTCATGTCCAACTCTTTGCAACCCCATGGACTGCATGCAGCATGCCAGGACCCCCTGTCCATCACCACCACCTGTGGTTTACCCAAACTCATGTCCATTGAGTTGGTGATGCCATCCAACCATCTCATCCTCTGTCATCCCCTTCTCCTCCTGCTTTCAATCTTTCCCAGCATCAGGATCTTTTCAAATGAGTCAGCTCTTCACATGAGGTGGCCAACGTATTAGAGTTTCAGCTTCAACATCACCCTTCCAATGAACACTCAGGACTGATCTCCTTTAGGATGGACTGGTTGGATCTCCTTGCAGTCCAAGGGACTCTCAAGAGTCTTCTCCAACACCACAGTTCAAAAGTATCAATTCTTCAGCACTCAGCTTTCTTTATAGTCCAACTCTCATACCCATACATGACTACTGGACAAACCATAGCCTTGACTAGATGGACCTGTGTTGCAAAGTAATGTCTCTGCTTTTTAATATGCTGTCCAGGTTGATCATAAGTTTCCTTCCAAGGAGTAAGCGCCTTTTAATTTCATGGCTGCAGTCACCATCTACAGTGATTTTGGAGCCCCCCCAAATAAAGCCTCTCACTGTTTCCACTGTTTCCCCATTTGCTATGAAGTGATGGGACTGGATGCCATAATCTTTGTTTTCTGAATGTTGAGCTTTAAGCCAACTTTTTCACTCTTCTCTTTCACTTTCATCAAGAGGTTCTTTAGTTCTTCTTTGCTTTCCGCCATAAGGGTGGTGTCATCTGCATATTTGAGGTTATTGATATTTCTCCTGGCAATCTTGATTAACCCAGTCAAGCTCTCCCCCAAATTCTTGATCCACAGAGATTAGGAGAGAAAATACAATGATTGTAGTTGCTTTAATCTATTAAGTTTTGGTGTCATTTGTTATGTATTACTTAAGAGCTAGAACACTTACTTTTAAGTGCTCAAGATATAGCATTAAGCAGATTTAGTTTCATGGAATTCCATTCCACATCTTTCTCATTCTTGGCAACTGAGGAACAACTATTTTCAGAGTTTTAATTATCCATCTGATAACTGTTTGGGCCTGCTATCAAGTTTAAATCTGTAGCTACAACTGGCAAACAGATCATACTCATTCATTCATTTATGCATTTAATAAATCAGTACCTCCACGTAGATGACTTCTCTAGCTCCTGAGTTAGCATCCCCTTCTCAATGTTCCCAGCTTACTATGCAGGATTGCTATTGCTTGTCAATTTTCTATCCCACTAACCAGTAGCAGACAGGTTCATTCTGTGTTATTTATCTTTGCATCTCTAGTATCTAGTCTAGTGCCTGCACAGAGCAGACCTATGTAAAAACAAAAACAAAGACAACCAACCAAACAAAAACAAAGCCACACACACACACACACACACACAAAACCACCTAACTGGAGGGCTCCTCCTTCCTAGACATACAATAATTTATTCAAAGACAGTCCCTATCCTCTAGCACTTCACAGTTCAGCACTGGACACTGTGGGATCCAGCCTGACAGGTGCAGTTAGTGAGCTGCCTGGATTGATTACTGTGGTGGAACCCAAGGGCAATAGGGCAACACATTGCACAAAAGTGGAGAAGGACACGGGAACGGATCCATTCATTTATTCCACAAATACTTATCAATCGCTGTAGCACATATAGCACAAGGTAAGTGCTCAATATCTGTTACTAGATGCCAGCCACTGTTCTAGGCGTTAGGGTTGCCGCAGCGCACAAGAAAGGGGCGGTGGCTTATTTCGTACTTTTGAAGCTCACAGTGTAGCAAAGGACTACAGCAGTGGACGTAATTATGCAAAATTGTGTGCGGTGCCCATCAGGAAAATAGGCGGCCGAAATTCTTGAAAGGATGTTAGATCCTTCGGTTGGGGGCAGACGTGGGCGGGTTTTGAGCAGGAGTGGCCGTGAGGTGGCCGGACTGTAGGGGGCGGGAAGACTGCAGGCCAGAAGAGCTGGTAATTTTAAGATGCAAGTATGTTTTGCTTGAGTGGAAGAAGGAGCTTGTGTCTAGGGGCGACGTGGTCGCTTGGTACGCTCGGGGTTCTCCTGGGGCGTGCGCGAGTGCTAAGTCGCTTCGCTCGTGTCCGACTGGGGAATGCATTTTGAGTGTAAGCACGATTGCCTCAGTCTTAGGGGAACTGCAGCCCTAAATTCCTAGATTTTTCATGTTCGGCACATCTAGGCTCCTCCGCTCCCCAGATATGCAGACGCACCGTCTCCGGCTCGGATCCCGGCAGCTGCGCGGGCCCTTGAGGCAGCGATCACCGTTCCTTCCCGGCTCGGACTCCGCAACCCACAGCAGACGGGAGGGGGCGGAGCTTGTGCTGCGGACCTAGGCGGTGGCGTGGGCCACGCCTCCGACCTAGACCCCGCCTCTGGACCCCATTGATTGGGTTATGGTCGCGGAAGGGCCGGGCATCCTCGGAAGGCCCGTGGGTAGGGCTGAGGCGGGGTTCTGATTGGCTCGGCTGGGATTAGGTCATTGCTAGCAGGTTCGGCCAGCCCGGACGCCGGCTGGGCGGCCGAGGCTGCTGTGAGAGGGCGCTCGAAGCTGCAGGAGAGCGAACTGGAGAAGGAGGCGGGGAGGCGGCTGCTGCACTCGCTCGACTGCTCGTTCCCTTCCCGTCGCCGCTGCGGGTCCGCCGCTGCTCTTCCTGCTCCGCGGCCTCTCGGTTACACGCGGTTGGAGCAGCCGCTCTTCGTTCGCGTCCAGGCTCTGTTCAGGAGTCGTGCGCGCCCGCGGACACCGCGCTGAGAGCGAGCCGGCGCCACACCTGTGGAGCCGGCGGCCGTCGGGGGTGCCGGCCAGGGTCTCACCGCGTGCGTGCTCCCGGCTGCGGGCCGCCGGAGCCCCGGGGGAGGCGCGCCCCCCGACTGGGCGCCGCGGACACCATGGGGCTGCCCGCGCTCGAATTCAGTGACTGCTGCCTCGACAGCCCTCACTTTCGAGAGACGCTGAAGTCGCACGAAGCGGAGCTAGACAAGACCAACAAATTCATCAAGGAGCTCATCAAGGACGGGAAGTCTCTCATCAGCGCGCTCAAGAGTGAGTGCCCCGGAGCCTGGTGGGGACGGTGCCCCGGGCGGGAGGGGCCGTCGGGCGGCGCTGAGACCTAGGGGTCCCGCGCCCGGCTGGATTTCTGCCCCCGGGAGCTGAGGGACGGGCGTAGACCCTTGTCGCGAAGCGGAAAGGATACGTAAAAGGGGCGAGCTAGCAACAAGACAGTGAAGGAAGAGACCCGTCACCCGGCCGTTTGCGTTCCGGGGTGACTGGGAGGTGACCGAGCGCGAGTAGCGCTCTGGGGCGCCGCGGGTGGGTGTGCGCGCACACACAGGTGTCCCAGGAGTGGGACTGGCGTGCCTGGAGCACCTTAGCATATTGGGAAACCCCTACGCGTCCACGACTCCGGCTTCCTTGGGGGAGAGTTGCTCACCCCTGAGTGCCCAGCCATGGGAATGGAGCGTGCCCCGCCAAGGGGGCGCTGCCTCCCCTCAGGAAAAGGCGGATTGTGCCTGCTTCGCTCCCTTTGCTCAAGCCTGCTCAGGGCCGCCGGGATCTCCGAGAGGTCTCCTTCCCTTCCTGGAGAAGGGCTGGGTAGTGTGGTTGGTCAGCTCGCGATTCTTTGGAGCAGTGGCAGCTTGTAACCCACCAGATCTAGAATCAGGACCACGTACGTGTGCAGGTTCTGATTCTTGTGTTTAGCAGAAGGTGATAGGGGTGGGAGTACAGAATCAGAGTGTTCCTTTACTCCAAACTGTGGGCGAGGGTTTAAAAATAGAACGAACACATCCTCTCCCTCTCCCGCTCCCTCATTCTCCTTTTTTACCTCTCCCAATATCCTTGAAACTCAAAGGTCTGGGAAGGAACGTCCTCGATCTTCGCTCAGAAAGAAGTTTAAACTTATCCTTAAAGATTTTCCAACCTTTTGTAAAACCATTTTTGCAAATTTCCCTTTGGCAGGGGAGAAATGAAATTTACATTCTGTGTATGATTTCCCTTGTCATTTGCAGAGCCAGAGAGTGTCTCCTTCTGGCCAAACGAGTGCTCTAGGGATGGATGCCTTGGATTGCTGAGCTCCTTTTTTTGGGTGCCTTATCTGTCTACCCATTTAAGAATGATTTGGTTCATCTTTTATTTTTAAGAATCAGGAATAACATAAAGGCAGATAGTGGAATTGTCTTTGACTTGACTTTCCCTTTCTCTTTGCTGCATTTCTTAATAGGTGATATCTTTCAAATAGGAAAGCTTGCCTGCAGCTTTTCAAATAGGAAAGCTGCAGAGTGCAGCCATGGGTCTGAGAATTGTCACCAAGTCTCTTTAAAGGAGACTTAAAGTCAAGTGCCTGAGATGTCATTTTGTGAGCCTGTTGCTTCTAAAGATGAAGAAGACAGTGGAGCCCCAGGGCAGCAAGTGGTAGTCTTTTGAGGTGAAATAAAAGTAGAACTTTGGTGTGCTGAGGCTCTTCAGAGGCAGGGTCTCTGTTGGAGGCTGTGACCTGGAGCAAATGAATAGACTCTTTTTTTTGTTGATGACCAGGGCCATCCTTGGAATATGTGATCCCTAGTTTGGAGTAAGTTAGGGGCTCACTTACAGGTTGGACCCACAAATTTTGTTTGAATCTCAGACTGGCTTTAATTGGGCCTCTGCTTTATTCAGCAAACATTTGGAGTGCCTGCTGTGTGCTCGATATTACCCTGGGCACTGAGGATGTAGTAGTGACTGTTCTCTTGTCCCTGTGGCTGTGGAGACTTACTCCATACTAGGCACTGCTTCACCCACTAATTATCTCACACATTATAACTCATCTTACAAATGAGAAAGCAGGCGTGAAAGCATCGCTAGCTGAGAGTCGCACCACTCTAAGAGCAGGGCTTGAGCCCCGCAAGGTCTGGGCCAGAGATGAAGTTCCTGCTGATGTTGAGCTCAATTCTGCCTCATTCCTCTTGCCCAGATTGGAGCCCCTGGACCAAGAGTGTTGGAATTTGAACTTGCATTTTGTATCTTAGCCTTGAGTTTGAGGAGGATGCCTTTATGTGACTGGCTATTTATCTGCTTGCCATTATTTTTAAGGCGGGGGAAGGGGGAGGTTAAGAATTCTTTGGGTAGGAGGAAACAGTACAGGTGATAAAATTAAAGAGTTTTTTAAATTGTCTAATGAATGGACCAGCTGTATAACTTGGGAGAGAGCTAGGTGTTCTAATCTCTTAATATCCATCTCTTTTACTAACTATACTCTTCTGCTCTTACTAGTGCTTGAACAGGTGCCACATGCCCTCTTAAAGAGGGTGGAGGTGATTATTATTTCCTGAACTTCAGGCATTGTGTTATCATTAGGTCCTTCTTGCATTGTGTATTATTATGCTAGTTTGTGTGTATTCATTTTCTTTGGATCATCTTTATCACTTCTGCAAAATGTAAAGCCAGCGTTTTAAAAATATATATAGGTAAAAATACATAATTATGTAAGTAACATTGGTTTAGATGTTTATAGGCTCTTCCATCTCTAAAATTTTATGGCTTTATTTTATAATTAATATGCACAGATCTTTGGGTTTAGATTTCCTTTGTGTGTTAATTTGAGGCAATAATACTGGCCTCCAGGGATTGCTGAAGTTCAGCTAGATCATTGCTCTTTATGAATGAGGAAGCTGAAGATCAGAGATCAGTAACCTGCCCAAGGCATCACAGCAATTAAGTGTACTTAAACAAAAGTTATCTGATTCCAGAGCCTGTGCACTTAACTGTGAAGTAGAAATGTTGTGTAGGTCTGTTGTCTATTGAATACCCTTGAGAAACTGGTAAACAAACGAACTCCTTGAAGTCTTTCCCTAGAGCTCAAACCTCTGGGCTGGACACATGGCAGATAAACAATATAATAATTTTGCTGCATTTCAAAAACTCCTGCCTTTGGAGAAAGTTCTTGTTTGATGTGGTGACTCCCAGTCAATTTTTTCTGTGCTAATTTGTCTAGGCATTTTCTGTGAGCACTCTTTCCTTGACCTGATTAATCTGTCTCAGTCTAGAGGATTCTGTATGCTTTGGTCCTTTTTTCTTTCTGGAGAGATAATAGAGGCTGGCAACGACGTTCAGATTTGTAGAATTAAGAGTTTTAGGATTTTCTGTGTTCGGTTCTTGACCTCATCACTTACTGGGCAAGTCACTAAGCCTGAGCTCCTCCTGTGTAAAATGGGAAAAGCCACGCTGACCTCCTAGGGCTGTTGTGAGCACGAAATGAAACAGTGCATGTAAAGAAAGCACTTAGCTTGGAGCCTGGCGTGTAGTGCTGCTTAGTTAATGGTAGCTATTATTATCTTCCAGAACGTCAAGACTCAGAGCAAGAGTCACTAAGAGCAGAATTGTCAGCATAAGTGCACTGAACTTCATTTCTGTCTGTCTCATGGACTTGATGGCAAACAAACTGTGATTTCATAGAACTGAAAGTGAATTAGGCTGTTGGTTTTGAGAGGTGGTTTTCAGGAACTGTTTTCTTTCCACCTTCAGACTTGGTTTATGGATTTGTTCCTGGGGATATGCCCCTTCCAATTTGACTTATTTCTAAGATAGAGTGAATTCTGTTACTTTAATAGTCATAGGTGGGAGGGGTGGGGCAGGAATTCACATTTTAGAATATCAACTTTATTGATATAATCTGTTCACCCTCTTAAAGCATCCAGTTCAGTGGTTCTTAGTACATCCACAGAGTTGTGCAGCTGTCGCCACAGTCAATCTTAGAACATTTTTCATCACCTCCAAAAGAAATTCCATTCCCATAAACAGTCATCCCCCACCATTTTCTCCCAAGTCCTCCCTCCCCATTCTCCTGCCCTCCAAACCTAGTCAAGCACTGATGTATTTTCTGTCTCTATTGATTTTCCTATTCTGGATATCAGAAGTGTAATTTTAATAGTTTTCTCTTAGATGGTGGTGGCCAACTTGAGGCACTGAGTTCTTGATTGGAATTTCAGGTGGGAAACTTTGAACCATAAGCTGCTCTCCTACATTGGGGTTTAAGTAGAGGTGAGGTCCCAGAGACTGAACTGTGTCCTAGGGGAAAACCCAGTTGTCTCATGAGATGGAAAGATGGATCCATTTTAGTTCCTGGCACTTTCAAGGATACAGAAAGTGAAAGTGCTAGTAGCTCAGTTGTGTCTGACTCTGTGACCTCATGGACTAGCCAGCTAGGCTCCTCTGTCCATGGAATTGTCCAGGCAAGAATACTGGAGCTGGTTGCCATTTCCTTCTCCAGGGGATCGTCCCAATCCAGGGATTGAACCCGAGTCTCCTGCGTTGCAGGTGGATTTTTTTTTATCATCTGAGCCACCAGGGAAGAGACTACCAAAACTAGAACAAGGATCCAACCCCTTCTGTTGGTAACCTTTCAGTCAAGTTAGGGCAGAGAGTGTGATACTGAATAAGGCCTTCCTCTGGGATTGATATCTTGTTGGGTGACACTTTTTTTTTTAGTAAAGTGAAATGAGTGTATCTGTTTCTCTAGTTCAGCCTGTAGTTTTCGAGAGACTTTTTGGGTATGATATGCCTTTATCAATGCATTCTCAGAGGTTAGTAATTCTGACTTGCATCACATTTCCAAGGCAGTCACAGTGAATTTTAACAGAAATAAATTAATAAGAATTCCAGTAAAAAACACAACAGTAAATTTTAGCTGCTGTGTATTTGTCTGTCAATATCAAATCTTAAATTCCAGGGACATTTATCTTTTAACAGAAATAAGAGTTGTAGAAATCTGTCACCTTAACTGTGTATGAACAAAGCAAAATGCTGTATTTTGGAACTTTAACTGAGTGGAGAGATGGATAAAAAGTCTGATTTACTTAAGTGAGGTCATACTTAAAAGGTTTTTTGCTAAGGCATGAAGAAAGAACATTTAGATAGTACGTTACTTAAGGGGGAAAAAAATGAGATTTAAATAGTTTTGATAATATTTGCTAGAGGGCATTCATGAGGCTCAGTGGGGCCCTGACCTCATATTATGTGCGGGGAGAAAAAGTAAAATTTATCTCATATCTACATTCTTAAATAATGCA